CAAGACCAGAAACAAGAAACGTAAAACCAGCTGCCAAAAGTCTCGGCAACGTGGAAAGTCTCTTTGCTAACTTGAAAAGTCACCAAAGGGAAGGAAGCATCCCAGCTGCCATGATGGCATTGTGTGGCGCTCAGACTGACGAAATCGAGCGCGCTAAACCATATTGGGTAGTTTTGCATCTCTGCTGATTGGGTCACTTGATGCGGTACCTGAACGGTCAATCCAAAAACGCGTTCCTGGGATTCCCTCGTTCCCGAGCTGCCATTCGTGTTGCCCCTGGGGCTGTCTGTCTGCTCCCTCTGGGTCCCCAGAGCGGCTATTCAAGGTCTCTAGGCACTGGGGTACCTTGGTTTTTTTTTTGTTTTGGTTTTTTCTTCTTTCATCCCACTGTCCGTTATTTGATCAATTGAAGGTACCTTCTGTTTGAAGTAAGTATATGGTTCCAATTATATTCTTATAATTCATGCAAACATTCCTGATTCCAGTTTTATGCAGGTAACACCACACCACATGGATGACTGATGCCCTGCACGTTCTGGAACAACACCAAGTCACTGGACGAGAGGCTAGCGCTAGGTACCCTGTTCAAATCTCTTAATCCCGACGGGACGGTGAAGCCACCAGCCGCCACAGGCCAAGATATCTTGTTGAGATATTGGGTTTTTTTGAAAATTCTGTGAAACGCTTGTGTTTCTTTGGCAAGTCTCAGAGATACAAGCAAGAAGGCTGTCTAGTTGCAAATCTGTGCAACCCATCTGTGCATTGTGTTCCTCTCCTTTACCGCTTGTTCACTTTACGACCCGTCCTGGTAGATCTCTTTCTCCCTAAAAGGAGTTGCGGTGGGTGGCATCATCGAGCTCAATAATGGAACAATTCAATCTTAATGGGAAAAAAAAGGGTGATGAAATGGATGGTCTCGTGATTGTTGAAAATACGTAAGAGCTACAGGGCCTCAAAAATAAAACAAAAGAAAAGTACCTGAAGATATTTTTTGTTGGATTGCCCCGCCATTCTTTTTGCGTTGCTACCCCGGACTTTTTCTTAGGTTGTCATCAAACATGGAAGTTGCGTCTTCAATCAAGTAAAATGGGGGTAATGAAAACCTCCTTTTCGTACCAAGATGCAATTTTTGAAGAAGCACGGGACCGGCCCGCGTTTACGGATCCAATAATCCTGTATTATCATCATCATGAAAAAAAAAGTTTTTTTTTCTCCAACAGACACGCTAACACCGGAGATGGAGACAAAATCTTGGTTGACCGCTGCTATACCGCCATGACCGGCCGTCAACTATTCAAGCACCGGTCTTTCTTGGGAAATGGAATGTAAATTTAGACGCGGAATAAAAAGAGATTTCTGATGTCCTCGTGGCGCCTAGCCTTGTAACTTTTTATCCCTGGACTGGCTGGGAATTGACTGGGCTCCTTGGTCACGGGTTCAAGCTTTGAGGTTTTGGTGTTTGCTCGGCACCCATTTTGAAGCTCATCCCTGCCAAGACCAGCAAAGACTCTGGGGAAGCTGACCGGAATACTGCCCCGCCCCGCCAATACGGAACCCCGAACACCCATCTTTTTGATCACTGGGAATCCATCACCTGCCCAATAAACACACCGAAAGAGAGAGATCAAACCTCCGACCTGAGCTTAATCTGAGACTTACTCTGAAAACAAAGAAAAACTCTATTTGAAGATCGATTTCAAATCAATTTCACTTTTCTGCCCCTGACTCAACATTTTTGGCCTCTCTCTCTCGCTTTGCAAAGGTCAGCTGATCTATACGGAAATTTTGTGACTCCCGGATTCCTCGGCGGCGGCCTCTCGGTGAGATTCTTTTTTTCCTTTCTCAATTCTGTTGAGAAGTAACAAAATAAAGTACAATCATCCGATCTGACACATACAGCCCATCAGAAATGTTGCATCTCGACATACCGATCACGCTGAGCTCATCTTATCCCATTACCTAACCTTGGTGTATGCCAAGATGACGACACGGGACCCATGCGGAGTCGCCATTCCGATCAATTGGTCCGGATCGGATGCGGGGGACACGGCGGAATACCGGCGTCCCGGATGATGTGAGGTCAGGAGATGTTTTTTCTCTTCAGCCTTATAATCCTGCGGGATCGGATGGCTTTTGTGGAATTGCATCATTCGGTCTTTATCAAAAGCCAAGTTTCCATTATCTAACAAGAGTGAATATTCCCTCACATTGTGCAACCTCATCGGCCAAAAAAAAAAAACCAAAAAAAACAGCCACAATTTCCAGAAATAAATGTGTCAAACTTGAGGACCTCTGGCCACATCTCATGCGAGTCCTGCAGACCATGATGATCAACCCAAAGTTACCCAACTTGAAGCTATGAGGTAATACAGACCACCAATGGCCCCAATCACAATTATTTCTCGTCTTGGCAGGTACTTCTTCCAAGGTGACATTGAAAAATCGAGATCGATGGAAGTTTTCTTTTTGGCTTCTGCCGAGTCCCGTTGGTTGCCGCGATGTGGTCTCCACTCTCGGCGAACCGCAGAGCGGCACAAGAAACCTGCCCCTCTCTCAGAAACTCTTTGCCGGGGGCGGCGGCGATGGAGGGGTAAAGTTAGATAGTGTTGGTGGGGTTCAGTCAATTGACTTGATGATTTTCTCTTTCCACTCACAACCATTTGATACAGACTCATGATCATTGATTTGTAAGTGCATGGCGAATCTTAACCTATGAGATTACACCTTGGCAAAGACTAATAGTTTCTTTCTATTTTCAGCTTCTTTCCTGTTTCACAAAAGACACAGAGAAATTTAGAATATACTATTTTACCCCGCAGTTGTTGAGCTTCCTCGATTTGCCGAGTTGAAAGCTGCAAAAAGTCAAGAAAAAAAAAACTTGCTCATAGAGGAGGTCACAAGTGTGTCACGACACACATTACACACAAACTATGAGTTCTGCATCCGTGACATCCGAAGCCATTCAGCGAGCCGCGCAGCTCGACAAGGATGATGTCCTCGCCTTCACCCGGAGCGAGTTCAACATTCCCTCCAGAGCGCAGATCGCGAGCACCCGTCTTCCCGCCGAAAATGCAGATGACAACAACAACGACGAAAAGTGCATCTACCTCTGCGGTAACTCCCTAGGCCTCCAACCAAAGAGAACCCAAACCCGCATCCAGCAGTACCTCTCCACATGGGCTACACAAGGTGTCCAAGGCCACTTCAAGCCTCTGGAAGAATCCCCCCTGCCAACATGGCTCGACGCCGACGACCGTGCAGCCCAACTCATTGCTCCCATCGTAGGCGCCTCAGTCTCCGAGGTAGCCGTCATGCAAACCCTCACAGCCAACCTCCATCTCCTCATGTCAGCCTTTTACAAACCCGACCCCAGAGCCAGACACAAGATCATTCTCGAATCCAAAGCCTTCCCAAGCGATCACTTTGCCGTTGAAACTCAGCTCCGTCATCACGGTCTCGACCCAGCTACTTCAATGATCACACTGACTTCCCCTACCTCAAAAGACAACATCCTCTCCACAGAAGAAATCATCTCTGCTATTCAAACCCACGCTGACACAACCGCTTTGCTCCTCTTACCTGGAATCCAATACTACACTGGACAACTATTCGATATTCCCACAATCACTAAATTTGCTCGCTCAAAAGGAATCTTTGTAATTTGGGATTTAGCCCATGCGGTAGGGAATGTTCCTTTATCTCTACACGACTGGGACGTGGACGCAGCCGCTTGGTGTTCGTATAAATATCTCAACAGCGGCCCAGGTTGCATAGGAGGGTTATTCGTTCACGAGAGAAACAGTTCTGTCCGTGAAGAGCCTGAGGCGGCAGATGACTATCAAAATCGTCTTGCGGGCTGGTGGGGGAATAATAAGTCTACTCGGTTCCAAATGAAAAATAAATTTTATCCTGTCAATGGAGCCGCAGGGTTTCAGCTTTCTAACCCTTCTATACTGGACATCACTTCTCTTTCTGCCAGTCTAGAGGTTTTTGGATCTGTTCCAGGGGGTATGAAAGCATTAAGAGAAAAGAGTTTGAGATTGACGGGGTTTTTGGAAGAATTATTGGGTGCGATGCCTGAGGAATTGAGGAAATTGTTTAGGGTTATTACTCCTAGGGATGCAAAGCAAAGGGGAGCGCAGTTGAGTTTGATGTTGATGAGGGAGGGGATGTTGGAAATTGTCATGAAGGAATTGGAGGAAGGAAAAGGGATAATTGTTGATGAGAGGAGACCGGATGTTATTAGGGTTGCTCCTGCTCCGTTGTATAATACTTTTGGGGATGTGGTTAGGTTTGTGGATGGGTTTGGGGGGGCGTTGAGGGTTGCTGCTGGTATTTAGTGTCTAGATAATTAGAATATCTTTGGGTTATGTAAAATGGTGTTATTATAAAAGAGAGCGTCAATGGGCACCTTTGTTGATCAATGACCTCCCACACACTATGGGTATTACTTCAAGACTTAAGTTCCTCTTCAACCTACTGCCACTAGAACTACACAATTTTCAATACAAAAAAAATAGGACAGAAGAAGGTTAATAATTGTCCATTGCTCTATTAGACAATAATTTTTAAACACATTTTTAAAGTTCCAAGGTGTGGCATAGCTGAAATATTTTTACTTGAGACGGGTTTTAATCGAGGTCGCTTTTTGGAAAGAGGCTGCTTGGGTTAGGGCGATGTATGGGAGTCGGTCGTGTGGGAGGTCATCGATCGATAGTGTGACTTGACGCTCTCATGAAAAAAAAATTAGAATTTTTTTTTAAATAAGCTCAAGATTTCGGGAGAAGATGAAAGATGGAACCTTTGCACATGGAATACAAAAGATAATTGTGTGGCTGTCAGGTATGTGTTTTGAGGGGGAGGGGAGGGAATGGGGGGGGATGAGGGAGGGATTGTTTGTGGTGCTGACTGTTGGTTGGAAATTGAAGCTGAAGGCAGAAATATAAATTACATTTTGGATGATGAACTTCAACCGAATCTACCTCACCACTCCCAATACAGCCCGGCTAGCGCAATGGTAGCGCGTAAGACTTCTACCATTCAGAAATTGATCTGTCTGATGTAATCTTAAGGTTGCGGGTTCGAGTCCCGCGTCGGGTTCATTTTTTGGTGCGGGGTATGGGTGTTCGAGTTGCCTTTTGTCTTTTTTGTACCTATTTTTTTTTCTTGGTGTTTGGATCTTGTGGATTTGTATTTTTGTATTTGAGAAGGTATAATTAAAATTTTGATGGTGTGTTCATTCGTTTCTTTGAGTGGTTTATTTCTTTGAGACTTGTTGTGTGAATGGCATCTTGAGGCATTGGGGAATTGGTGCGAATTTGAGTGGCATAAGTGGAATTATAATGAGTTGTTTTTGCTTGGAGGATGAAAAATTGATCTACTTGACTATTTAATGGACGTTGAGTATTGTTTGGTGTTGCTCGGTGTCGAACAATTACGAACGCACATTCAATCTTGGTGATGTTATTGAGTGGGACAGGTAGGTACACGAACGAACCTAAGGCACGCACTCTTTGGCTTTCATGATGGGGTTTGATAGTTATTATGATACAGAAAATCTTATGGACTGATATTCTTTGTATCATCCGTCGAAGTACAACCATGGCCGAAATCAATATAAACCCAATGTCGTCGTATTACATACAAATCATTCAGAGAAATTCGGTATCAAGAACAAAGTACCTTTTCAGGGACATTTCCGGGACAAAAATCAGATTCTCCAACTATATATAGCATAGAACCTTCGTAAAGGCACGAAGGCCTTTCGTGCCGGACACGGTGGCTCGCGTCAGACTCGGTTACATACAAAATACATAGGCTCGAGCCGGACACGGAGGTTTCTCCCTGGGTACGGTAATCTTCCTGGTCGGGGTTGTTAAAATGGCTCGGGGATTCTGGTAGGGCTCGGCTATTTTCGTGTCAAAAGGACGAGGGATGGATAGATGGATGAATGAATGTCTGACCGGCTGAGAGAAACCTCTACATTGTGATTAATGATGGGGTATGTGTGGTTCCGGTTATTTACTCCTTTGAGGTATAAGGAAAAGGAAATTTAATGGTCTCTAAAATGAAAGGCAACAGTTTTTGTAACAGTTTGAGGTGAGTGCACGACGAGATTTCAATCCTGGAAATGCTTCTGGATTCTACTGCGGTCCTGGAATTGACTGTGAAGTTAGAGGGTCAGAAGAGACAGAGTATCTTGGTGCGGACTGATTCAACATCTGGATGTCAGAAATGAGATTGGTTGCCTTTGAGTTATCATATATGATCCTGTTTGTTATTTTTGCTGCTTTTCAGGCATGAGGTTGGGATGCCATGTAATGACGCTTTATTAATCTCTGCGGCTTTGGTCGTTATCTGCTCTTGTGATATCTGCAGTGGTTTCCAGTTTTTTTATGTCCTTGAAGTTCTTAAGGCCGGTGAACTCTTGTAGTTTGGGAAGACGAACCTTTTGAGCAGTGCTATTCGAGGATGTTAACTTCTAAATAAAGAGTGTGAAAGAGTACATATTTATTTTTGGTTCTTGAAATATATGTATCCAGGGCAATTGTGGTTAAAGAAAGAAGTATTTCGATATAAATGGTTCCGTGGAGCTGAATGACGAGTTAATTCATGGGACTTGAATGGGATTGATCAAAGAAAAGGCTTTGAAGGGAAAGAGCGAAAGAAAAGCCTTTGAAGGGAAAGAGCGAAAGAAAGGGACGAAAAATAATTGCAAAAATAATAAACTGAAGTGAGGCTCGAACACCCAGCTTCCAGGTCCAGCCCTGAGCCTTACAATGCATAGTAGCAAACCCTGCTGTGCTTTCCTCCCTGACCACTGAGCCATTCTCCCCTCATTTCAGTCGAATAGTTGACCGGAATTCTGGTTCATATAACCCCCTCGTGCAGTCTTTGAAAAGGTCTGGGTCCCGTTTTACTTTCAGAAGTTCCGTGCAATGCCCAAAGTGAAGTGGATATATTTACACTCTGCAAACGAGGACGAGATAATACAGATTTGCAGAATCCTGCTTAATAATATTGTGAGTTTTACAGAGCCCGTCAGTATCGATACAAAATACTGATAATCACTGATAACTTGAACCGGCTGTTTCTTTTTTGGCATTGATTAGAAGCCCCAGGTATCAAGAGGAACGTAGCAGGTACACATTGGAGGACGACATTCCGTTGCATTTCGGCCGCACTCATCTATTTTCTGTGCCCCTAAAATCTACAATAATGACGATTGTATTATAAATAATATTTATGATCACTCACTAAGGATTTCTCATGATCTCTTCAATCATAAAATGAATCCGCTCTCATTTATCCAACCAACAAAGTCCAGAATCATTATGCCACTTACACCCACTGTATGTTCACCCTTAGCTATACTTGACCCCTTACAGCATCATCGACATATTCTTGGCCCCAAAGGCACAGACCTAAACAGCCAAAGTCAACGTAGAGCGGTATAGCTCCTCCTTTCCACCGTCAACACCAGGTCCCGGCCAACCTCAAACTCCCATCTCTCGACCGGCCTTCACAGCAGCTATCCAGGCAGTAACAACCACACCCTCTCAACCTGAAACTTCCATTTCCCTTCTCTTCCCTTCCCGCTTCTTCAACTCCCCGTGTCTTGGCTGTTCCGACCCGGTCGAAGCCGGCTAACATCCTCAGGTCCTGGATAAACGTCACGAGAATTATGCCGTACAGAGTGAATAACATCCTGGATAAGCCGAATCATCCGCCCATGTTTCTCTGGGATTGTCATGACCGAGAAGCTCTCGCTTTTAGTCATGAATCAACTCATTGCGAGAAACAGGGAATACGTCTATGCGAACTGGCCAAGGTTTCTGGATATATAGGGGGTGTAGACCTAGCATCAATCCTTTCAAGTTCCACTAAACTCATATCTATGGCAAAGAAATACATCAACATAAAAGATCAAGGGCTCGAAATTGCGTATGAATGGGTGAGTACAGCAGAGTCCTTCCCGCCTTCCTTGTTATGAGTCTGGCCCGTAACATAACCCAACCATGGATCACAATACTTGCCAAAATGCAGTTCACGCTCATTTTATGGATACCCTTCAAAGTACTCAGATACGAACAAACACACACGCATCTATCTTACAGAGACTTGAAAAAACTAAAAAAAAAAAACTTATCTGGATATGTAGGTACATGAAGAATAGTGATTGCTACGTAAGAGAGACATCCTCACTACCTATCCCCTCATCTGAACCAAACAAAGAGCCATGCTTTTATGTTGTCCTCACCCTCTCTCTCAATACTTTTTGTAAGCAGATACCGAGCACAACCACAGCAGATCATGGTTTCATATGGGGAGGGGAGGGGGGGTATCAAATGCGCAAATATACACATATTACACAGTAAAATCGTCCCTCGCAAAAACCAGAATCAACAAATAATAGACTCAAAAGTAAATCCTATCCGCGTTCATTCCCCTCCGAGATAATCTGAACAAGGGCAATAAAAAACACACACACTTCTTACAAAACTGATCGTTGTTATTTGTTGATAATAATAATGATGATGATTTAGCATAACCCCTATCTCTCCCTCCACTCCGTAATCTCAGGATTACTCCTCGTCTACTCGTTAAATATACGCATACTTCAATAAATCAGCCACACACTGTTAAAGACACGACATACACATCACCATTTTTTATTTAATCTCTTATCTCAAAGAAACATAGTGAAACAGTTAGTTTTTCGTGTGTTCGTCAATTAAATCTGAACCTACTTCAACATCATGAGGTTCAACAATGAATAACTAACGCCCACAAAATAAATAGATATAACCAGCCCTAACAGGAAAAAGGAAAAAGACCAATGGGGGGAGAGTTTTAATTACTACTCCTATCCCGGGTCCAAACAAACTCAAAACTCGGGATTCAAACCCCTCACGACGAAGCTCAGGATATTGTTGGTTTTTGTTCATGATTAAGGGGAAGCTATGTATTATTGTCATAAAACCACAAGGTGATAACTTGACAGTCTATTTGCACAGATGTTTTACTTTCCCAAAGAAACACATATAACTCTGTATGGAAGTGGCAATCCTTTTTTGTTTTGTTATGTATTTCTTTTTCTTTTCTCTCTTTTTCTTTTTCTTTTTCTTTTTCTTTTTTTTTTCTTTTGGTTTTCCTTTTTCCTTTGTGGTCACAATCTCATCTCTTTGATCCTGCAACGGCCCCCGGATCACCAAAATCGAAAGAGGCAAATTACCAATCTTATTACATACCTCTGTCCTCTCCCCAGTTTACTCCCTGAGAACCACGGGATCCTCTCTCAACAAAAAAGAAGGCCCGGGACACAAGTAACGTTGCACATCAACCAAAAAAACAAACCCAACCCTCAAAAGCGGAAAAAGGAATACACGGCGGCTGTCCTCTTCATCATATATACATATATACAATGAAAATTTCTCCACTAGTAAGAAAACACGAAAGCGGCCTGAGATGAAAGCTTCCATATATCTAGCTTTCCCGGTTCCATCTTTCATATTCTTCTCACTTAAGAAGACAAAAAATTCCCGCAAAAGTGTAAAAGACCAAGAAAAAACAAGCACTTTATCACACTCTGTCATGGTTCCAGGAACCCGGAGGACCTCTCATATTAAAACAACAACACACACACCTCTCTTACCCCATTACCCCGGTCGATCAATTTATTACAATTCAACTCCCGAAATGTGGAGAGTCACAGCCAAGAAAAAAAAAAGAAAATGGGGCAGGTGGTGGTGGTTGTGTGAAGAGGGGGGTGATTTTACCCGGATTTTATCGTCTCTCTCTCGTCTATCGTCTTTTTTCTCCAGATCTGTCAATTTGGTTGATATTCGGTTAAGATGTTAGTTGTGGGGAATACGGTAAGCTGGCAGTTAGAAACGGGAATCTGGGTGGAAAAGATGGGAGAGTGTTCTCAACTCAAAAGATGAAGCTTGACCCATGGCTGATGAAGATGGAACAACAGGATGCCAGTGAAAGGCTAACCCCGGACTCGGAATCAAAGATGGATCTCGTCTGAAAAGCTTCAAGATCGACAGAGGCAATTTCCACCTCTTCTGATTATCCTCGGGGATCGCCTTCCCAGG